CTCCAGAGACAGATACTCTGCAGAGATCTTCAGTAACTATAACAGTTTTGGATAAGCTTTCAGTTCTAGATTTGGACTATATGTCCTAGCCACCTTTCCTCATCCATTAACAGCATATTGCCACGTTTTCTGGTGTTGTCCAAAATTAACTGACTACAGATGATGATATGCTGAGATAATCAATTTAATATAAAAATAGGTTTCTTCCACTCTGTTGTGAAGCAAATGTCTACATACCAGGCCTTTCTTGCACTGGACTTTCAGACTGTCAATCTTTTCCCAGATTTAATACTTTACAAAACTTTTAACCCTAAAGCATGGTCCTATGATTCAGTTCACCTGAGAGTAATTTGCTGGTTGTTCCAGGTCTCCACAAATACCCAGACACCTCCAATCCACCTGGCAGCACATCTGCATAATTGTTTCTTCTGGAATACTATGTAAGTGGCCTGATCAATCCAGAGATTATGAAAACACATGTACTGACATCCCAAGCATTTGCAATCCAGTTTGCACACATGAAAGGCTTCTCACAAGTTTGACCCTTATAAAAGTACAGAAGCACCAAAACAACTATTAGTGTACTGTAATGCACATTCACTGCACTGCTGCAGCTGTTCTTGAAGACTAGCAATACAATGGTGGAGAAACAGATGTCATATTCAACCCGAACAGCAGCCACAAAGAGTATGAGTAGGGCCCTACCAAATTCGCAGCCATGCAAAATGAGTCACAGACTGAAATTTTCACCGTGTCCTCCTTTGAAATCTGGCTGTGTGCTTTTACCGTTTACTCTACAGATTCACTGGGCAGAACAGCATTTCTTAAATTAGGTATCTTGACCCAAAAGGGAGTTGCAGATGGATCACACTGTTATCTTAGGGGGCTCATGATATTGCCACCTTTACTTCTGTGTTGTCTTCAGAGCTGGGCAACTGGAAAGAGCTAGCTGTAATGATGCAGAGCTCTGAAAGCAGCACCGTACCAGCAGCAGTGTAGATGTAAGAGTGGCAATGCCATACCCATGTCACCCTTACTTCTGTAGTGCTGTGTGGCAGCTGCTGACTAAGGTCCCAGCTCTGTAGATAACTGTGCAGAAATAAGGTTGGCAATACTATACCATCATTACTTCTGTGGTGCTGCTGGCAGTAGCCCTACCCTTTAGAGCTGGACTTCCAGCCAGCAGCCACCACTCTCTTGCTGCCCAGCTCTAAAGGCAGGGCCTCCACTAGTACCAGTGCAGAAATAAGGGTAACAGTGCCACAGCCCTCCCAACAATAACCTTGCAACCTTCACAGAACCCCTATAATTACAATACTGAGAAATTTCAGATTTAAGTATCTGAAATAATGAAATTTACCGTTAAAAAAACCCTAGAACCATGAAATTGACCAAAATGGACCGTGAATTTGTTAGGGCCCTATGTATGAGCACTGATGCATTGTTGGAAGCCCAGCACGTGGATTTGCTGGTATGCCTGTAACAATGGTTAGCATAGATGTATTGGAGCATAAGCTTTCATGGGCAAAGACCCACTTTGTCAGATGCATGCAGAGAGCTGTTTGAAGCATACATATCTGCATGGTAATCAAAGACACAATGGGTATCATGCATCTGAAGAAGTGGATGCACTTCATGCATCTGAAGAAGCATCCACGAAAGCTTATGCTCCAATACCTCTGTTAATCTATAATGTACTACAGGACTCCTTGTCACTTTAGCAGATCCAGACTACACGGCTACCCCTCTGATACTTGACAACCAAGTAAGCGTCACAAACAGCCTTTGCACGTTTATGTCACAGGATGGCTGGTCTTTTAAATTAAGTGGGTCTGGCTTCTCTGGAGACCAAGAGGTAAACCCTTTGGAGCCTAAGGTAGCAGAGGGTGCCTGATTGTAAGTATAATTAGAGAGAAGACAAGGCAGGAGAGCTTGGAAAGGATTGGTAAAGAGGGAAGACAAGGAAAGAGCTTGGAAAGGTTCTACCAAAGGAAAAAACACGATCGCTCCTTAGAATCTAGGCTAAGAAAGGGCAGGAATAAACTATATCTAGCTGTGAAAAGCAGCAAATCCCACCAGAAAGAAGGAAAACCAAGAGCTGAAAGATTGTACCTGGATGTGAGGCGCGCCAGAAAGAGAAGGGAAACACCTTGCAAGGGAAGAAACTAGGACGAGCTGTAAGCAGCATCATAAAATCTTAACAAAAGATAGGCCCAAGGAGGGCAGTGCATTTAAATTAATTGTGATGCTGAAGAGGAAGCAGGTAAGAGACTATTCCAGAAGATGCAAAGCTGGAAGAACCTGGTATAATAGGTTGAGACTGAGAAAAACAAAAGCTCAGAGAGCTGTCTGAAGCATACATATCTGCATGGTAATCTTTAAGACACAATGGGTGCATAGTTTTAGTGTGACACTGTGGATCCTTACATTGGCCACCATAGAGCATGCCACTATAACTCCTGATCACTTCCATATGGTTGTTTTTAATGGGGATTCCCACCAAATACAAATAAATCCTTCAGTTTTGGAGTGGTGATCCACTGCGGCATGCTCCATTCAAATGCATTTGTCAGAAAGGCCAATCTGCCACTTTAGCACTGAAAATCTTAGTCATACAACCAAAGCATAAACCCTAAACACCTTTTCAAGCACATTAAACATTATTTACAGTCCTCATTTTAAGACCATCTCTTGAATATTTTTGCACTAGCATATCCTCCAATGCAAAACTGCTTACCAGGAAGAACCTAATTTGACCATCTAACATGCTTCAATCAGCATTATATAAGGGAGACAGGTGAACCCACAATGACCAGGCAGCATATACATGACAAACTAGAATCTGCAACAATATGAAAAATGTTTTATCAAGTCTTCTAGAAATCAGAGTTCAGCCTTCATTTTTAAGTACACACATACTTTTGGTACAGCAATTCCATTGAACAAGCTTCTGGGTGCCATGTTCTTCTCAGTCCATCATCTTTTTCCCCTCACCTTTCATTTCCATGTTACTTACATCTCATTTATAGGTCTACAGAGTATCCACTCCAGCAGAACATGGCTAACATGTTCAGACATGAGGGGATGGACTTAAAAATATTATAACTTGGGAGCATCAGTAGCAAAATAGACATAGCAACAGACCGGGGTGAGAGCACCAAAAGACTGAGTGGAAACACACTGAAAACAAACAGTTTAATGTGAATTGACCTGCTTTTCTACTAGTCTCAAGAACCCCTCCACCTTTCTGGTGAAGTGATTTGCAAAAGTCAGAGCCCAAATCCAATATTAGAAATGCATCATATGTTCACAGTATAATGGGTTTTTCAAAGAATAATAAAGCAAAGATGGCTTTACACAAATATACTTTAACCAATGATGACAGCAGCCAACAAAATTACTCAAAAGTGTTTACTACAGCTATTTTTTCTACCTTGAATGTAGCTGTCTAAACTAGGGTTGCCAGATGGTTTCACAAAAAAATGCTGGGAAAAAATTCTGTTGACCAAAAAAACGGTAGCAGGAAAAGTTGAGCAAAACAAAAGGAAAAAAGAAAGGGACCAGCGCCAAAATGCAGTCGTAGCCCCTCCCTCCGCGGGAATGTCCCAAGTGGCCTTCTGTTGGGTGCCCGGTATTTTCTGAAATTTTTTACCGGATGGAAGGCACAAATACCGGGCTGTCCAGTAGCACCCCCCAGTGCACTCACCCCTCCCCCAGAGCCAGGAGCCTCAGTGCCCCCCATCCCAATGCATTCACTCCTGCCTCAGAGCCAGGCCCCTCACAGCATCCCCCATCCCAGTGCACTCATCCCTCCCCCAAGCCAGGCATCCCCAGCACCAGGAGCCCCCTGCCCCAATCAAATTCCTTCCCGCAGAGCCAGGCACTGGAGGAACGGGACAGCTGGGTAAGGAAATCTTACTTTTAAAGTCACCGCTCCTGCCACCCAACCCAGTTGCCTCAGCTCACAGTGTGTACAGGGAGGCATTATGTGGCCAGCTCCCGGGTCTCTGCTCAAATCGTCACGTGGACCAGAGCAGCATGCATTCCACTCCCATCCCAGCCCGGCGCCCCACCTAACGTGGTGCTTGGGGGCAAGTGGCCCCCCCGACCCCCCTTCACTACTCCTCACTTCCCTGCTCCCACCAGATGCGGCAGGGGAAAACTGTCCCCACCAGGCTTTCGTCTGAGGGAAACAGGAAATATTGGACATTACACATGTCTGGTATTTTCTGGGTTTTTTTATACCTGACAGAGGCTGCAAATACCAGACTGTCCAGGCCAATACTGGACACCTGGCAATCCTAGTCCAAACTAGTTGTCTCAGAGGGGTAGCCGTGTTAATCTGTAACTTTAAAAACAATTTTTTTTAAAAACGAGTAGTCCTGTGGCACTTAGAGATTAACAAAGATATATGTATAGTATGAGCGTTCGTGGGCAAAGCTTACTTCTTCAGAGGAGATTATATATACACGCACACACAAACTATACGTACATAGTAGCTTCTGTTTATCTAAGGTGCCATGGGACTACTCTCTTAAAATTATTTTTCAACTCTTAATTTGATGAGACCATTGAAAAGATAGAAACATGCTATTAAAGGAGTTAATTAAAGCTTCTTCGAGTGATTGCTCATGTCCATTCCATTTAGGTGTGCATGTGCTATATGCACACATCGTCGGAAGTTTTCCCCTCAGCGGTATCTGTTGGGCCAGCAGTGGAAACCCTTGGGCTGTGTCCAGACTCAGGGTTTTTTTCGAAAAAAGTAGCCTTTTTTCGAAAAAACTTCCCCTGCGTCCAGACTCAAGCCGCGTTCTTTCGAAATTAATTCGAAAGAACGCGGCTTTTCTTTCGATGGCGGTAAACCTCATTTCACGAGGAAGAACGCCTTCTTTCGAAAGTTCCTCTTTCGAAAGAAGGCGTTCTTCAATGTAAATAGGGCTTCTTCAAAAGAGACCATCCAGCCTCACTGGATGCTTTCTTTCTTTCTCGAAATTTCTCCGTGCAGTCTAGACGCTCTCTTTCGAAAGAAGCCTGCAGTCTAGACATAGCCTTGGAGTGGTGCCACTATATTGACTAATATGTATACCCCTGCTGACTCTCCACCCCCTCAGTTCCTTCTTACCACCCATGACAGTTGTTAGAATGTGTTTGGCTCTTGCTTTGCAAGTGCTCCTTGGAAGTTCTCATCTTAGTTGAGCTTAGAGTTTCTGTTGATTGTTCTGTTATCTTCTGCAAATCGTCCCTAATATTAAGCAGTTCATTCCCAGGCCCCAAGGCTTCAAGCCCTGCATCCAAGGCTCAAAGCCTATGCCCTGTGGGGATCCCCACAAAGCCACCTTTCAGAGTTCTGCAAGATTTGCAGGGCATTCAAGAAACGAACCAAGCAGGAGCGGGAGTCTCACCTTAAAATCTTGCTAATGGAAGTGGCTCTCCATCCGGTACTGGCTGCAGACCCTGCACCGGCCACGTAGCGCACACCAGACTCAGTGAGACACATACCCGGCCGCTCCAAGGTCTACCCAGCACTGTAACGTTGGCACCGCTCTCAGTCTCCAGTGCTGCACAAGAAACAGAGGCTGAGCAGGGACCGGTCTCCGTCATGGCACATGCCAACAGCGCGCCCTCAGGAGGGTCATGGGGCACTGGCAGGCCCAGCATCTGGACCTTCGATGTCAGGTAGATTCCATCCCAGCTCATGTGAGGATTCCACCCGGTGGAAGATCTTTCAGAGCCATTGACACCAGACACCTTTGAGGCCATGAGAGACCTGATTAGAACTCATTTCATCTCCGACCACAGTGCCAACCTTGCAGAGGGATAAGAACTCTCGGTGACACAAGGCCTTGAGTACCCCAGGACCGAGAGAGCATCACAGATCTGCCCCGGTACCTGTGACCTCCACTACGCCGGCAGCACTGACATCGGTACTGGCACCTGTACCAGTACCAACCCCAGTATATACCTCGGCGATGACGACACCAGCATTAGGACTCCCCCGACACCGGAATGGACTCTGGCAGGGCACGTGGCACCGGCTTTGCCACTTGGCCAGCCATCGGGGCTTCCTATGCTGCCACCCCCTCTCAGCACCATGGGAAGCCTGAGTCTATGGCTAGGCATGACCCTGACCGAAGGTCACTAGCTGTCACTGCCACACCACCACCTTGGTCAGCCTTAGAATACTCCATTGACTCGGAGGCTAAGTCTGTCTTCTCATCATGGGCCTCCAGATCCAGGTCCTGCCATTGCTCCTACTCCAAGCACCACAGCCTGTCTGCACAGCCTCAGCAGCAGACCTGGCTACCCCAGCCCATGCTTGACCAGACTGCTCAACATCCAGGCACCAGTCCTCTGGTCCTTCTGGACCTACCATCAGTCACAGGGTGCCGGTCCCTCTAGACCAGAATCAGTCTACTCAGGCCCTATGAGCCCATCCTCAGCCACCTCTGTGGTCCGTTCTTCCATGTCAGGACAGTCCCTGCCCCCAGGCCAGGGCTCTCCCAGGGCCTCTGGGATCAGTGCCCCACCTACAACCCAGACCTCCACAGCACTTTCCGTGACAATCTCCTAGATGACCTCTCAGGCCCATGATCAAGAGGGTACCCCTCTGAAAGGCTCCTCATCCTCAAACGAGGCTCTCCCATTAATGCCATCCATGGACTCGAGGGTGCATCAGGAACTCCTCCACAGGCTAGCCTAGAGTCTAAGGGTGCAGCTGGAGAGGGTGTTGGATGACGCTGATCTCACAAGCTGACATCCTTCAAGCTGACACCCCAACCAGAGTGGCTCTGCACCTCAAAAAAAACTGTGGCTATGGCCCTGGTCTCCATTCTGCCAACAGATAAAGTTCAGAGGCAGTATTTCATGCCCCAGGTGAGTAATGAGTAATTCATTCTCCCACCCTCTTCCCCACGGTCCTTGGTGGTCCAAGCAGATAAACAGCACTAGAGGCAGGGGCAGCCAAAACCTACCCCTAAGAATAGGGATGCTAAGAAGATGGAACTCCTGGGTAGGAAAGCCTATGCCTCGGGGGGCTACAACTATGCATAGCAAACCAGCAGGTTCTGCTGGGGTGTTACACCTAAAGCACTTGGTCTGCTATGGACAAGTTCACTGAACTTCTTCCTCAGGACTCTCAGATCGAGTTCAAGTCCCTCTCTGCATGGTCTTGCAGGCTGCCCTAGATGCGGCAGATGCAGCTAAACTTGCTGTAGCTACTGGCTTAGTGCTCTGCTGCAGCTCATGGCTTCAAAGGTCCGGAGTGCTCCCAGAGCTCCAGGCCACTATTCAAGACCTACCATTTGAAGAGCCCAGTTGGTTCTCAGAGCAGACTGACCATTGTCTGCATGGCCTGAAGGACACACAGGCCACACTTAAATCCCTAGGGATTTTAATATCCCCATGCCTCAGAAGCATTCCCTTTCAGGGAGGATTGTCACCCAGCCTTCAAAACTGCATAACAACCTCGACTTTTCTCAACGCAGGGGCAGGAACAAGAATGAAAGGAACAACAGATGCTGCTCCTGCCCCTTGTCCAACCAAGGGTTGGTCTCAGCCAACAAGACCCAGGACCCTCATCAAGGGTTTTGAGGGTGCAACTGGGGACAGATTACCACTCTTGCTGCTCCCTTTTCTGGACCGCCAACTCCCTTTTTTACCAGGCACAGCCTTCCATCACTTCGAACCAGAGGCTCCTTGAGATGGTAGGGAGGGACTATGCTACCCCATTCCTACTCCCCCCATACACACTCCTCTTCCCTGTCCATCTTCAGGAAGTACTCTCTCAAACATCTTCTGCAGAAGAAGGTGCTTCAACTTCTAAGCCTAAGGGCAGCTGAGCTGGTCCCCTCAAAGATCATGGGCAGGGGTTTCTACTCCCAGTACTTCCTGGTCTCCAAGGCCAAGGGGGAGCTCCAACCCATTCTGTAGCTCAGAGATCTAAATGCGTTCATCGCCTAAGCCAGAGTCAAGATGGTGACACTGGTGTCAATCACTCCCTCCCACAATCTCAGAGACTGGTATGCTGCCCTCAATTTAAAGAATGTTTATTTTCATATATTTCCATTGCCTCCCACCACAGGAGATTCCTGCATTTCACCATAGGTCAGGACCATTTCCAGCTTATGGCCCTCCCCGTTGGCCTCTCTACAGCCCCCCAGGTCTTCACAAAGTGCCCATCTGTGGTCGGTGCTTTTTTGAGGAAGTGCAGGGTCCGAGTGTTTCTGTACCTGGGCTGGTGCAGGGCCCATCCTTGGATCAAGTATTGGCCCACATGACTATGGTTTGGGCCCTTTCCATGGAACTCTGCCTCCTCCTGAAGGTGGACAAGTCTACCTTGGCCCTACTCAGGTCAGAGTTTGTGGGAGCTCACCTGGATTATACATCAGCCACAACCTCCCTTCCCAGGTCCCTCTTTCTGATCATCAAGGAGGTTGTCATGGCCATTTCCTATGCCCAAAGCCAGGAAGTTGCATGCGCCTCCTGAAGCTGATGGAAGTCTACACATACATGACGCAGCACGCCAGGCTCTGCAAGCATCCACTGCAGTTGTGGCTGGCACAAGTCTATAATCCATGCCTCCACCCCTGGACAAGGTAGTGACATTCCCCCCAGATGTCCTCAGATCCCTGGACCCAGGAGGAGGTGTTCTGCGCTTAAGTTCTATTCTCCAGGCCACTCCTGACCCTGTTGCTAGTGAGAGATGCCTCTGACACCGGATGGGGGGGCCACATTGGTAACGTGCAGATGCAAGGTATGTGGACAGAAGAGAATCTCTTCTAGCATATAAAGGTCAGGGAGCTGTGTACTGGCTACCTAGTGTGCCAGGCCTTCCTTCCCTGACTCAGAGGCAGGGCGATTCTCATCCTATCCGACAACATGTCGACGGTGTCCTATATAAACAGACAGGGTGGGGCACCATTACCCTGTGCTGGGAAGCCCTCCATCTCTGGGAGTTGTGTATCGGGGCGGAGATTCATCCGATGGCTTCTTACCTCCCTGGGATGCAGAATATTCTAGAGGACCAACTAAGCAGGTCCTTTGCCAGTCACGAGTGGTCCCTCAGAGAGAATGTAGCCCTACAGGTCTTTCACAAGTGGGGGCTTCCCCTCCTGGGCCTGTTCGCAACCTGTCAGAACAGGAAGTACTCCTGGTTCTGCTTCCTCATAAGTCTGGGATCCGGGTCCAGGAGAAATGCTCTTAACATTCCCTGACCCAAGGGACTGCTCTATGTGTTTCCCCCGTTCCTGTTTGTGCACAAGGTGCTCCTCACAGTGAGGGAATTCAGGGCATCCCTCATTCTCATTGCACCAGCTTGTCCCAGGCAGCATTGGTTCATGTCCCTACTGAGCCTTTCTTTTGAGAGGCTGATCACCTTTCCCTGTATCCAGGCCTCACCCGAACCTGCAGTCCCTACACCTAATGGCCTGGAAGCTCCATGGCTGAGAGCAGCGGTGGCACGGTGCTCAGAATGGGCACAAGAGTTCCTGCTGGGGAGTCAGCTACTTGGCTAAATGGAAGCATTTTTCTAGCGGGATTGCTCAGAAGAGGATTTCCCCTATGGATGGCCAGGTTCCCCTGGTTCTGGACTATCTCCTCAAGCTCAGGGTTCAGAGGTTGTCTTCCTCACTGATCAGGGCTCACTTGGCAGCTATTTCCACCTTGCATCCGGGCTGCTGGGGCATGATGCGTTTGTGCACCCCATGGTCCATGAGTTTCTGAAGGGTTTGGACAGGCTCTACCTGCATGTCTGCCAACCAACTCAGTGGGACTTTAATCTGGTCCTGACCAGATTTATGCCCCCTCTCCCCTTTGAACTTTTAGCCACCTGTTCATTACTGCACCTCTCCTGGAAGGTGTCATTTCTTGTAGCTATCATGTCGGCCAGATGTGCATCTGAGTTAAGGACCCTTACTTCAGACCCCCTTTACACAGTTTTCTTCAAGGATAAGGTCAGGCTATGCCCCCATCCTGCCATCCTGCCCAAGGTGGTGTTGCAGTTTCATGTCTCCCAGGACATTTTTATCCTTTTTTTTAATCCCAAGCCTCATGTCTGGCAAAGAACAGGCTTTACACACTCTAGACATTAGGAGAGCATTGGCCTTTTACTTAACAGAGAACAAAACCCTTTTGTAAGTCCCTTCAATTGTTTGTAGCAATAGTGGAAAGGCTCAAAGGGCAGCCTGTCTCCTCACAGAGAATCTCTGCATGGATAGCCTCCTACATTAAAGGAGTGCTATAGGTTGGCTGGCACACCAGATCCTCCTCTCTTGGCCCACTCCACTAGGGCAGAGGCCTCCTTCGCAGTGTTTGTAGCCCATGTCCCTATCTTGGACATCTGTAGGGCTGCCTCATGGTCTTCAGTCCACACTTTTGCACTGGCCTATCAGGCTAGGGAGGATGCAGCTCTTGGTAGGGCTGTCCTCTGCTCAGTTGAAGGTTAGAACTCCAACTTCACTTCATAGGGTTTCTGCCTTGGAGTCACCTAGATGGAATGGACACGAGCAATCACTCAAACAAAAAACAGTTTCTTACCTCCCTAACTGTTGTTCGAGATGTGTTGCTCATGTCCGTTCCAAATCCTGCCTGCCTCCCCTTCTTCGTAGTAGAAGAAGGAACCGAGGGGGGTTCCTCGGTAAGAAGGAACCGAGGGGATGGAAGGCCAGCGGGGTAGAGATTAGCCGATATAGTGGCACCACTCCAGGGGGCTCCCCTGCTGGCCCAATGGATACTGCTGAGGGAAAAACTTCTGATGTGAACATGCAGCGCATGCACACCTACATGGAATGGATATGAGCAAGACATCTCGAAGAACAACAGTTTTAGAGAAGTAACTTTTTCCCTCAATACAACACTTGAGGCAAATTAACAAGGTTTGTAGTAATAATACAACAGGGTTATATTTATCTCAGAAGAAAAGGAGATTGGAAAACTAGATTAGACTGTTGCAGAAGCAGTCATACGATCAATTTAAAATTTTATAATTAAATATTTCTTTGCAATATTGCCTTAAATTATGAAATATATTCTCACTCTACAGAGTTATTAAAAGTGACAAATACAGCTGAAATACAAAAAAAGCCTACCTTTTTCCCCTTCAGAATGTATTACGCTTGGAACATCTTGTCTAGCAATGGACAATGGTAATACTTTTCTAGCAGAAATATTTTCAGTACTAGTGGAAGCAGAAACTGTGGCACTTGCGGTTGAAATATTAGACATGCTTTTGGTCATGGGTCCATCAACGTTCCTTTCATCTATGTCAGAATCATCAGAATGAAGAGGATTAGTAAAACAGAGGGGTGCTCTAATTGAAAGCGTACTGCTCTGATGATCAACTGTGTCACTGGAAGAGCATTCCACTTGAGATGTGGGGTTTGGTACCAGAGAGGCAGTTTTAATACTATGACTTAAGACATCTGAAGCCATAGCGTCAGACACAGATGTAGGCAGTGCATTTTTAGGCCCATGTAGTGACCATATGGCATGTCCCTTCTCTTGGAGAGGCAGACGGTCTGGTCTTGGTGGAGCATCAGAACACTTCAGGCTCTGCAGCCCTTCCAGTGAAGCTACTAAGGCTTTGTTAGTTTGTGGCACACTGCATTCCATACAAGAGTTTTGAAAAGAGTCCACAAGTGAATCCCCAGAACTATGCTCCAATGGCTTAGAGTTCTTATCCATGACACAAGATGAAGCAGACTTAATTTTAATTGCATGTCCACGGTTCAAAAGAGTATTCCCATCAAAGCTTCGTGGTCCCTCCTGAAGAGGTACCTTCTTAATTTCAAAACTTAAGTTGCGTTCCAGCTTTTTCTCAACATGTTCATTGGGGTCATTTTTCCCTGAATGTTCTGTTGATTTATTATAGTTTTCATTGAGGTCTGTTGAATGGTCTGATGAAACCATGTGCAAAACTGGCTTTGGATGGTATCTATCATTGTCCTGCCATACAGTAGTGACTGTCGGATAGGCTGAAGGAGGAGATGGTGTTAAGATGGGTGGTACTGGGTGAGGCTCTGGAGGCTGCAAAATTTCTTCCTTCACATCTCCTTCTACAAGACAACTGCAAAAAAAAAAATGTAAATTCTCTGTATTTCAGCAACATCAAATCTGAAATAGCTCAAAAACTGTGGAAACATCCAACATGCACTAATCTAAATTTTAAGCTACATGTCTAATGCTTGCCAAACAGTGGTTGTATAATATAGTTGACAGAGCAGGTATGAACCATGTCACAACAGTATAAATGGTAAGTAAGTAATTGAGAAGTCTTCCACAATATAACTTGGGAAAGACTCTTGATAATGCCATAAATACTAACTTAAAGGCCAGATCTTACAAATCTTAACCCATAAAAATAGCTTCAAAGCAAATTTCTCTTAACTTTCCTGCCCACAGCTGACTACAGAGAATTTGTAGAATGGTCAGACCTTCTTGTGGCAATATTCATTGAAAGTCTTTCTGAGAACAAAAACAATTGGAGTCATAGGAGCGTAAAGCACCCACTAAAACAGACTTTTTGGTACTCAATCCCTCTCAACCACTAGCTCAGTTTACTGCCCTCCTTTCCTTTCCAAATAATCTGACATTTAGACACATTTTAAACGCAGAGCTCTCAATGTGCAGCAGCAGTGGGAAAAAAAGCAAACAATGTTAGGAATAAAGGGACAGAGAATATCTTATTGCCTCTATATAAATCCATAGTACACCCACATCTTGAATACTGTGTGCAGATGTGGTTGCTTCATCTAAAAATGGTATCTTGGCACTGGAAAACGTTCACAAAAGGTCAACAAAAATGACTGGGGTTTGGAACAGCTGCCATATGAGGAAAGATTAATAAAACAGACTTTTCATCTTAGAAAAGAGGAGACTAAGGCAGGATATAATAGAGGTCGATACATTCATGATTGGTGTAGAGAAAATAAATAACTTCCTTATTAACTTGTTCCCATAATACAAGAATTAAGGGTCACCAAACAAACAAAGTTAATAGGTAGTAGATTTAAAATGAACAAAAGGAAATATTTCTTCACACAACTCAGAGTCAACCTGTAGAACTCTTTGCCAGAGTTGTGAAGTCCAAGACTATAACAGGGTTCAAAGAAGAACCAGATACATTCATGAAAGATAAGCCCATCAATAGTTATTAGCCATGATGGATAGGAATGGTGTCTCTAGCTTCTGTTTGTCAGAAGTTGGGAATGGAGGTCAGGGGAGAAATCACTTGATGATTACCTGTTCTGTTAATTCCCTATGAGGCATCTGTTGGAAGACAGGATATTGGGCTAGATGGACCTTTGGTCTGACTCAGTATGGCCATTCTTATGTTCACATTTTCTCCACAAATGATGAGTATTGTAAATATTGATTCAGTTTTTGTTATTAGGAACATTAGTTTCTAAGAACAGAGTCATTTGCTGTAGTATCTGATTTGTTGAAAAGGAATTTCAATATTGCTTGTGTGAGGCCTCTGTAAATTCGTTTACAATGGAATTAGTGGTGTGGATTTTGACAAGTGAGTTTATAATTTATGCTAAGTTGGTAGAAAGTTTTTGAGAGAGGAAGAAATATTTTAGGCAAGAGTGTGTAAGCTGTACAAAAAGCTATCTAATAAAATGTACTATAAAATGAAACTGACATAACAGGCTGTTTTGACATTAAAATATTTTAAAAGACTGAAGATTTAAGAAGTTGACAAAGAGTAATCACATATATAGATACGCCAACCATATATCCCAGATTTTCCGGGACAGTCCCAAATTTAAATACTGTGTCCCAGTGTCCCTTTCAAATACTGAAATATCCCAAAAAGCCCCATCACATACAGCTTGCAGAGAAGCAGCGAGCTAGAAATGGCTCAGTGCATTTCCATTTCCCTTCCCTCGGCTGGCAAAGCTCGCAGACACTCATCCCCTAGCACAGAACATCAGCAACAGTCTGCACCTCCACCCCCCACCATGTAGGCAACTCCCGCCTTAGGGCTTAGCCACTAGGCAGCTGGAGTGGCTTCTGGTGGCCTATGGTTTCTGGAATTCCTTGCATTCCTGTGAACCGCCCAGCGAGCTGCTGCCACCTCCTGACCCACCACTGCGCACCACTTGACCCCCTCCCTTGACTTCCTCTGCTGTGCAGGGCCCCAGTCTGGCCACACCACCTCCTCCCATGTGCAGGCAACCACTTGTTCTTTGTGACAGCGGCTGCCAATGCCGGTGGGGGCAGGGGAGGGGGAGACAGGAGAGGGGAATGGGTCCGATGCAAAATGGCACACCTTGGAGCTGCTGCTTGAGCCCCAGGAGGGGCTGCATGGAGCCCATCTGGGGGCATGCTTACTCAGACTGGGCAGGTGTGCCACGTGCAGCTGCTCTGTCTCCCCTGCCCTTCCCCACCCTGCTGGGGGAGTGGCAGCACACAGCTGCTCACTCTACCACTGTCTGCCAGCCAGGGTAGGTGAGGTCAGGGCTTTCTTCCACCTGCCCCTGCCTACCCTCTGAGCAAGAAGCCGGAGCTGGTGCTGTAGCCTTGCAGTTGCATGGGTTCCCGCACTGCATAGTGGGGGACAAGCTCCCTCCCTGCCCACCCCACTGGGGGAACAGTGGGACACTGTCCAGAAGCTTTCTATGCTAAAATGGGGTGAAAAGCCAGGTAAGCGTCCCCCCTCATGCCCAGACCACTGCAGCCCAATCCTCCTCACTTCCCTCTGCCCCACCAAGACCCTGCACCCCCTGCTTGCTCTGACATACTTCCTTGCTCCTGCACCCTCCCCCTCCTGGCCATTTCCAAGACACTATAAAACCACTTTGTGAACTAAGGATAAATTTATGAACTGAGAATAACTTAGTTTTCACAGAAAAAAAATTAGAGATGTGAAAATGGTTAACCTTTAAGCATACCAGTAAAGCAGAAAGCAGCCCCTGCCACGGACAGGCTGGTGGGTTCAGAGGTGGGATCCCACATCTATGGCAGGGTCAGGAAGCAGGCCAGACAGCAAGCCTGGAGTTAAAATGGGTAAGCGAATAACCATTTTAACCTAGCAAAAAACCCATTTGCTATACTAAGCTCTGGGGAGAAAAGCTTTTCAATCTTAATCATCTTATTACATCAAATTCAATGTAAAGATGTACAGTCTCAATCATTACACAGCTTTTATTACAAAATGTGAATATGGTCTGATTCAGAAGTTAAGTTTCCTACTTTAAAAAAATTAAAGTTAATTTATTGTATAGTGCCCTAAAGTATGCAGGGTGCTCCAGAGAAGCAAGATAACCTGTGGCCAACAAAATTTTCAGTGTAAAATGTATACACAAAGTAAATGAGGTGAGAACAAGGAGAGAATGAGTAATGCAAACAGGCAAAAGCATTTCTACAGTACACCCCATTCTCTAACTATACTCCAAAAAAGGATTAGTAAAATAGTCTATTTAAATTTTAAACCACTCTACTGAGTGGAAAAGTGGTACTGTATTAAAAATGGGAAAAATGCAGTTCAGCTTTAATTGAGGACTGGCTAGTATCCAAATGAAAAACCCTCAATCCATGATTATTTTGATCAACATACTGAGGAGTTTTATCATCAAATAAAAGCGAGTGATGTCAAGGTCATGGAATGCAGCTGCTATGATCAACTAAAGATAGATACTGAGCTCTGCATTCTCCTGGATAATTAAAATAGGAACATTAAACCCTATGTAAGTGGACTGAGGCTAGAAACCATATTATTCTACTTTATTTAAGCATTAGATCTTGTTTAGCCAGAAGGGAGAAAAGCTACAATTTGCTCAACTTGTCAAACTGAATTATAGGTTACTAGCTGATTTACCCAGCATTTCTCAGGTCCTTAACGTAATCTGGTTTAAGAAAAGGAAAATGTACATGCTTTATTTAAATTATTTTTTTTGCAAAAAAAAGAGAGTCTTATTTGTATGAAGTGACCTTTGATTTCTTTAAAAGAGGGACTGTTAAATTTTGACAGTTTAATTTTCTATGACTTTTTAAAATGGGATTTCCATCAAGTGTATTTTTCTTTACCACTACAAACTCTTATTCACGATGTTTTAACAAGAAAAAGAGCGATAGTCAATTTGGTTTCCAATAACACTGTCTTCTAGTTTTCATCCCTTAGGAACTGATTTAGCTGTGCCATAACAGAACATCCCAAATTTCTTGCTTTTATCTCTTCTGTAAGGTTTATTGAGAAGCAATCCTATTCCAGGCTCATCCTATGTATTTCACTTATCTTGGTTCAGTCTTAAAATTCGCTCAGTTTTGTCAATTTTGAGGACTATACTTGACTTGGCAATTGTCTCTTATGTTTGGTTTTATGAGAAGCAATACCATTTCAGGCACATCCCGTTTTCCCAGCATAGCCAAACCCTTACTTTGCTTTAGGTTATGTTAAGAGGAAGCTTAACAACACAGATAATTTCTGATTTTAACAATCAGATAATTTCTGATTTTTAGATATATGTTATCAAAACCAGTCCATTGGTGATTTTTTTTAGTGAAAAAATAGTTAAATGAAAAATATTAAAACCATCACTGACAAATTCAAACCAATGGCTACCAACAGGGCTATTAATAGCCAACAGATTCTTTTACTGCATTTTATTTTAGCTAAACTGAAGATGCATTAAAAAGTTCTTTAGAATTTGAAATGTGGCAGTGAAATTACTTGCCAATACAGCATGCAGCTTTATTCACAGAAAGGGGCAATTTGACTTATATTATCATCAACAACATTCTAATTTATTCTCTCCTAAATAAAAAAACCATTGTGTTTTGTACAGAAATAGAAAGGAAATCAGGATGACACAGCAAATTATACTGTCTCGTGTTTCTTCTGTCACCAATTTCTCTCTCTTACACCTTTTACTTCCCCATTTCTCTTTCATGTTGCCTTATCCTTGTACATTTGTGAAATATTTTGGCTACAATCAAAGTTTCATCATTTCAATGTTAGGTCTAAAGGATACTTTTAGTATGAAAAAGTTACTAAACACCAATTCCCATACCCTTTTCCTTCAAAAATGTCTTGCTTATTCTTTAAGGAAAAAAGCTATCACA